TATAACTCGTCCATTTAGATTTTATTAAGCCGAACATGTATTCTCAAATTTGCATAATTAAGGGGGCGTGGATGATTTGACTGACACGTGGAGACATTGCTCTGTTTTTCCAGGAGGCTAAAGGCTTGCCTCAGCTCCACCTCTTTGCCTGTCATCAGATTGATCAAAAAGTTAGGTTGAAATAGCATTACCAATATGTCGATCGCCATCATGGGGTTCATGAGGTATCTTTGGAAACCAACGGCTGACATCACGGAGACTATGATTGTATACAGCTTATGGCTTTTTACGCAAGATTATGACATTCTACTAATAGCCATTTGTTAATTGAATGACTCACTCAGTCTAACCCCACCATTACAAAGGCCGTGAGACCAAAGCTCCAAAACCAAGCTCAGAGTAACAGCAAAGGAGGCTGCGGGTTTCCTCACAGCTTTTGAAAGATTTTTTTTAGAGAAGTATGACAGCCACAAGTTGTTGATTCATCTTCGTTTCAATGTTGGATTTAGGCTGCATTTGAATTACAAGAAAGCTTTTTAACTTGTTTAACTGAATCCAAGACATATATATCTGCACTGCAAGCTGCAAGTTGTCTTCAATCATCTTATGGACAGTTTGTTTCCCAGAGGTGTATCTGTGCGTTTGGATGACAGGCTGAACAATGTGAACAGCTGCAGATAAAGGGCACGCTGCAGGCATCTTTCTCTGTGGCAGGAACTTATCTCACCCCTCACACTCTGCTTTTATTTATACTCACTTCCTGTGAACTCATCCTCTGCCTTTTTCACACTAAGTATGTTCACTGTGTGGTCGGTCTGTTGCTGTACTAATAGGTGTTAAAGTTGCGGGTTAAATGAGCGCGATAGGTGTTGTTACATGTGTTGAGTCCCGTGCAAAAATAAACTGCACCCCCCACCTGGGGAAAAAAAAAGAAAAAACCTACCCATATTTAATTTAAATGTATTTAATGATACACTTAAATGTCAATCCTCCTATAACCTATTATCAATACTATATTATATAATGATTTTATAGCAATATATATGGAAAATTTGGCTGAACCAACCTCCCATAAAATGTATTTATAATTTCAGTATAACGTGTTCATGTAGTAACTCTGATAACTTTAATTCACCCTGTATACTTTCTGAAGACCATCGATGCTTGACTCCTGCTCTTAGATGTCAACATGACAACCTATAAATTAATTTCCTGATGATGGATTTTGGGAAGACAACCAGTAACAGGCAGAAAATTAACCCAGAATTTAGAGTTTGTGCTGAAAAATGAATAGGTCAAGATTTAACCCCGACCATGCCAACGACCTGCTGGTTGTAAAACAGGTTTAAAATTGTTAAAAGTTGAAAATTAGGTCCAAAATGAATGCGTTACTTTTTCTTCATCCCATTAATTCTGTGCTAATATGTCCCTTACGGTGCTCCGTAGCTAATGGACCGCAGAGACAGAAGCGTCTCGTCTTTTCCATGATTAAGAAAACATTGTAAACCTTCGGTCTACAACAAGTTCCTTTTTCTTTCAAATTAAAAGCAGGTTCATTCTCAAACAGGAAGTAAAGTTCACTTCGCTTAAGACTACAAAAATACAAAATAAAAGCATAAAAAAACACTTTTTTGATGAATGTGAAATGTTGGCATTTCAAACGTGATTAAAAATGCAATCAAACCCGATAACTGTTGAATTTCAGTATAAATTAATTTTCAAATTAATAAATGCAATCGTTTGAAAGCCCTAAGGCCAGTTGTACAAGCATATGTAACTATTATAAATGTATATAGACACATATCAGGCCCAACACCACACCTACAGGTGGTAGTGATCAAATCTATTAGACACAATCATAACTGAGTGATCAGAGTGTCACCCATCAGTTTGTTGACTACTGTTTTGAAGAACTGAGTTTGATTTTTCTAAATGTCATCATCTCGTGCTTTCAGAGCTAGACGTGGCCATATTTAGATAAAAGATTGCTAAAGCTCGTCGAGGCGAAAGACAGTGCATCGCCATTGAAGTTACCCTTACTTTAAATTTAGGCGCTCACATTACAGATCAAGTAAGTGTGACTGTCATGCTTATGAATTAGCATCTGTCTACCCCTCTGTTGCTTCTCCACTCAATTCCAGCGTCATTCTAACACATCAGGTCATATGGCTGCAGGAAGGACACAATGAGGATCGTTGGTAAATATGTAAGAATATAAAACTTGTATACATTTTGACTTGATCAGCCAGTTGATTTGAGCAGTGATTAAGAGCAGTGTGGTAAGAGAGTCGGCCCTTTTTTCAGCTGAACCAAACCAGACATCTTCTTCTTCTTCTTCTTCTTAATTCATTCAGAGAAATGGTTGTGGAAAGTCCCTGTGTGGGTGCAATGTTTCATGTGTAATGTTTAGTTCTTGTTTATTTACTGCTACCTTGGAATTTGGCTCATCCAGGTCTCACTTCTATTGGCCACTGACTATTACAGTTATTTTCATTAAATACTCTGGAGGGTCCACACAGGAGATTTTAAACCCCGTTAGAAAAATATCTTTGACTTCTTTTTGGCAGACAGGAAGAAGCATGGGGTAAATTAATATTCCAGAAAAGGGCTGGATAATATCAAGGACAGATGGTGAATTAGACCCCCTCAAAAGGTCTTTACACTGAGTCTTTACACTGAGAAGAGGATGCTGCCACTTCTCCATGCCAGCCTCCCGCTGTCCGTGAGAGCTCTCATGACTGTCTACTGACTCCTGCTCTCAGATGATAAAGACTGACAACACACAAGGCGTCCCAAAATAGCTCCCTGCGAACTATAAAAGGGATAAACTCCAATATGAAACAACCTTATAGAACGGAAATGAGATTGCTCAAACCGGCCGTCATCGACCACACTGGTCAGTGTTTTTAAAGAAGCCAGTGAATATGATGAGCTCAGCCACATATTTACATGTCATGAGAAAATGTCAGGATGATGCATATCCTTTCCCTCTACTGTGAGCAACAGATTTGTACCAAGAAGTTCATGCCTTGCTACCAACATTAATCATGTTGAGGCTTTTAAAGCATTTTCCACTGAAGTGCTCCCAAACCAACTGATGAGAGAAACATTCACAGAAAACCGATGTTGTTCTGGGTTATACAGCACCTTTAAAAAAACATGCACTTCTGATCATTTCAAGAACATTTTAGGGGACAGGCTGCCCCTGAAATCTTCCTGAGTCGCCTGCTCACATAGTGTATGAGCCTCACGCTTACCGTCCATGTTAGACAGTAGGAACAGGATATGATGTAAAAGAGGATTATGCAGAAATGGTGTGCAAAGAAAGCACAAGCGCCTGACGCTATGGTAAGTGTGTCGAGACCACCCTAACCAAGACCAAGACATTACCAGCATCTAGAATACTCAGAAACCGAGGCAAGACCAAGACCATAAACATATAAAAATCATCATGTTACTTATTTAAACCATAACACCTAGAAGGTTGGGTTCATAACCGGGGGCGGGCAAACCAAACTACAAATGAACTGAAGTTATTTGTTGCTTCAAAAATGGCCGGTTTTCTATTGACGATAATGACATTAGAAAAAAGCCAATCAATGGTGGCCTTGACGGTTCTGACCAATCCGAGACAAGACGCTTGTGATTCCGAGACCAAGACCAAGACCTTTACAAAAGGTGTCTCGAGCTCGGTCTTGGTCTACAACAACACTAGCCATGGTGACAGTTTTTGCTAATCCAACTCGTAACTTGACATATGAACAGATAAAGACTACATCTGCAAGCAGAAAAGAGTAAGAAGCAGCTTCAATACATGCACAGCAATCGCGCTGGTCTCTCAGGTGATATCAGCGTGATATTTAAAACCCCCACCTTGTCGCTCGTGGTGAATTTTCCTGAACATTCAGAAATCAACTCACTCTTTTTACTCAGGACTAGCAGGAAAAGGTCCGACTAAAGTCAGAGTGAAGGAATCGAAATTCAGGAGTTTTGTACTTGTGTGAAAACACCACAAGTCAAAGTCGGTCTACTAAAAGTTTGGTTTAATAAAAGTATGTAAAAACTTAGAAGAAACAGATGTTTGACTTGTCACTACCAAAGATGCCGTTTAGTTCCAGAAACTACTTTTCAAGGGCTACAAAGTTTGTCTGACTGTTTTTGTCTGTTTCGCCCACAGTCTTTCGACCTGCGGCGATTTATTGGACTGATTCTTTGTTGCTGCTGTTATTGTTTGTAAAGGACTTCAGAACAACAATGCTGATGCTGAAATAAAATGCAGCAAGTACTGGACCAATCAGAAATGCTTTGAGCCGCAAGGCTTTTGTTTAATTTAACACTATAACCTCTAGGAAAATCAGTCCCAAGATAGACAGAGAATTAAAGGTCACATAAGGCAAATGTAGAAATCAAAACCAACAAAAAGTTTTACTCTGCAGATCCCTGAAAAAGTTTACAATACACACGTTTTAAGAGTTCAATCATGAAGGGAGCTTGATCCGCGGTTTAGCTGCACACAGCTTGTTAAGAATAGCAAGTGACAAATGTAGAGTTGAGACATATTGAGGATGCACAGGTTCACATAAGCAAACTGCTAGATTGAAGAAAATCAAACATCTGCATGGAAAATGAAGAGTGAGCAGCCTGTGATTTTCTCACTGCTAAAGGCTTGTGTTAATGAGGCTCATAAAGTTTCACTCTCAGCTCTGTGTGAGGATCAGCGCTCTCAGGTTACAGCCTACAGTGGAGCAGGTCAGAGGGGCCGTGTGTGGAAATAGGCGGTAGCTGACAGCGCAATTTAATGTGAAATCCAAGCAGGTTGTCCAGAGGGACATTTCTTCTGGATGGGCAGAAGAAGTACACAACGCAGGAGATACTAAATGCATCACTGTGAGCATTAAGAAATGAGATTATAAATCCATACAAAGTTGACTGAGTAAAAGCAAAGCTAAATTAAGGTTTTTAAAAAAAAAGTTAGTTAATGCAACTGTTGTAGTACTCACCATGTTTGTTACGCAGTTGTGTTCAGTGCCACTTAGAGAAAAGTAAGTCCGTCCACAGAGGGTCAGTTTCAGTGAACCATCTCAACAATGAGTGTGTGTGAGAACTTAAGGGTATTTACTCCTGTGTGTCTCACAAGCATAATGTCTGAGCTGTCACTGAGAGCCAGACTGCTTTACTCCCTGGGCGGGGAAAAGGAGCTCAGAGTCACTAACAGAGCTGCTCAACTGCAGCCCCATTGGCTGGAGAGCCACCCCCCCTCCTTCTCTGCAGCTGCCAACCCCATCACTCTTTTTGTTTCAGCTTCTCTCTTTCCCGTTCATCTTCCTAGAAAAGCAGAAGTTCGTCTGTTGACACTAGTTCACTTCTCCAATTAACTATGGCGGGACTTTTCCCCCGTATTTTATTGTTGGTGTTTCATTTTCGAATTAATTTCACATATTCCCTAATAAGGGGGGGGTTGTTTGAGGCTGAAATTCTTACTGCTTTTCTTGTTGTTGTCTGGACAACACAGACAGCAGCGTCTGGGAGAGTTGTGTTGGGGGTTGGGGAATGCAGGACTGATGTGGTAGGGTGACCTATCAGTGTCGGGGTGAATGCCAGAGCAAGGTTTTACTGGCCTTTTTTAAAAAAATGTTTACACATTTTCAGTCGGTCACTAAGCATGTCAAACTGTTTTTTCAGATCAGAAGATATAGAACGTTTGTCCAACAGAATGTAATTCAACATCTCTTGATCATATTTTTAAATCACAGTTTCTGATTGTTGTTAAGTGCATAAACCAGAGAGCAGAATAAGAAATGCATATGCACGATGACTTTGGCATTGAGTGTGTGTGTGTGTGTGTTTTGGGGTCTATCAATGCCTGTTCGTGCTCCCTGCAGGTTGCTCAGTTCTTGCAGCAACAACTGTGGTCTTAAAATAACTACAGCATACCATCATCATAGCTGTGGTTATTAGCTCTGAGGGGGGACTTTCATCTGGAAATTCATAGAAGTCTTTATTTTTTCTATTAATTGTTTAATAAAAATCTGAATTTCAACAAAAGGACATAGACAAAATATAAAAGTGAAAAAAGACAACAATCCATCTCTGGTGTCTCTTAGAACGTACTACTGAGAAATATGAGATGTGAGAAGAGTTACAACTGAAGTGTCCAGGCAGTAAAAGAAGTTTGAAATTCGAAGAGTCTCAATTGAAGACGATAAACTTTCAATGTGTCACAAAGTCACAAAGATCTGTTATCAAAAAAAAAGTAGAAATAGTGCCCACGCTCTTTGAGAGATGAGATGAAGTAGTGTGTGACCGAGGTACTGTCCCACAAATTCCAAAGCAGGAATCTAAATTGAAAAAAAAACCAAACATTGAATGACATTTTAGAAGAAAATGGCAAGTTATCTGAGGTCATTGGAGACCTAAGTCCAGCATCCTGTTTGGTTTTTGGCGAGAGGAGTTGAGGCAGAAGAATCAAAGGAAACACGGGGATGTGGATGTGTCTCAGTCTGTGGTGGTGCGCCGGTACCAGAAGCGGGCCCTGAAGTCGTCGCTGCAGGTCATGAAGCCGGGATTGGTGGGCGAGTGGACGATGCAGCGGACGATGTTGTTGTGTCCCAGAGACAGCAAGTTTTTCCTCTCTGCTGTGCGCGAGTCCCAGCAGCACAGGCTGATGGTGCGCTCGTCTGGCAGCAGCACGTAGTCCTCCGTGTGGTTAAACACACCCTGTGTGCGATGCATCTGTCGGCCGCTCAGCCCGGCACCTGTAACACACGGGAGGAAGGCTCAGTGCAATGGTCTGACCACAAAATGTAATCTAACCTGAAGAGGCTAAGCCAAAATGTTTATTTAAATCCACTTTCTATGACCATTTCTCAAAGTATTTTATGCTCTTAAAATGATAATGTAAATTGAAAGAAAATAAAAGCTTTAATTTGCAGATTATATATAAACTTTAGCTAGCTTTGTGGTTCGGCTAATGAAAGCTTCACGAGGGGGTTAAAAATGTAATCTGCCAGGTGACAGCTTAACTCATTTAAAAGCTTAAAGGAGCAATATGTAGATTTTTACTGAATTAAATGATAAAATGACCTTAAGCTAACATGCTGCATTTTTCTAATAAGCTCCAGGACTAGAAACGTGCTTACACATGGATTCAAGGGAGAAGAGGGCGGAGGGATACGGCTCTATTTAATGTTTTGAATTTGGACTGCAGTACCCATTTCAAACGCTAGGTGTCAGAGTTACATATTGCTCCTTTAAGCTTACTGAAGAGATCTTTAACTGTATACAGAGAGCACTTTGAAAGACACGTGACGTGGTAAAGACCTTGGGGCCAGAGCTACATATGCAAAGGGGGAAAAGTCAACACCACTTAATGGTTCTTTCAGTACCTTAACACACAGTCAGGTACTGTTGCTCCCAATCCCAAAAAGTATCTTTCATTCCTTCGCAAGAGGAAATACTTAGACTACACTATAATGAAAATGTAAAGCTTTATCAGGTTGATTGAGTGAGAATAAACAAATTTAATTTTTTGCTAATGTCTTACAATTTGATTGCATTGTACAAAAATGTTCACAGTTTTCTGATTCTTATCCGGATGTTAAAGTAGGACACTAATCGTAAAGTAAATTTAGGTTTTTAAGTGTGGGGAAATTATTTATTCGATTGTATCTTATACGAGTGAAAACTTACTACACATAACAAGATAATGTATCTGAACACGTAACCATGATGTATGACGTAAAGACTGTTGCTGTCGTTGTTTTCATTTGCATCATCACACAGGAAGGAAATTTCACGCACTCACTGAAAGATATTACGCTATCATTCACTGGAATGAACAGCTCTCTCACTTTATTACAACGTCTGCACATTTGTTCTGACCAAACTCAGAGGAGGAACCCCTTCGCTTCAGGGTGAGACATGACCCCTCTGCTTCCAGCCAGGATCCTGCTCACCATGTCGGGGTTCCATTCCACGATTAGGACTAAGGCTGGTTATTGGTTAACTTATTCATCAATACACTGCAATTATTATTTTCCCAATTCAATATCGATTCAGAGAATTCCTGAGATTTTTTTTTTTTTTTTTGTTGTAATGACACCCCTCTCCACTGGGGGGCACTGTGGCTGCTGTGAATTCAGGTCAGGCACAATTGTGGACTTTAAATATATCCCTCGTTATTGTTTTGATTGAGGATTTTACATACTGTGCGTTTAAAGAATAATGCAACAATAAATTACATTTTTGAGTCAGTTTGTTCTAAACCTATACAAACAAGGCACATAATTATTTAACTAATATCAGAAGGTACTGTGATGAGTTATCTGAGTATTCCTGTCATCTGAATGTATTATTAAATCCATATTGAATCGAATCGTGACCCAAAGAATTTAAATCGAATTGAAGTGAGGTTGTGGACAACACCCAGCTCTAATAACGACCAACACACAACATTATCTCGTACTTAACTCTATTACAATATTAACCTGGCTGTTTGACTGTTCACTCATCCCTCTACTTTAATTTCAGTGACCTTATGAATCTGTTTTTTTTATTTATTTATCTGTGGATTTGTTACCACGGGTAAATTGGTGTTCTCTCCTCCTGAATGGTTTACAGAGACACATTACTTTGCTGACTCTGAATTACGTCTGTCCATGGATGAATAATTAAAGGTGCTCGTACTTTTCAGAAATCAGGAAAAGGAAATCTTTTCCCACACAATGTACTGTGATACTTACTGAAACAGATTAAAGAAGTAGCGTTGTCACCACATCAGAGTTTTAAACTGAGATATGATACCAGTAAAAATAGAACAATATCAACACCTGTCTCAGCGCACAGTACAGGGTCATTTCTTGTTGTTAAAAACCAAGAACTAAGAGCAAACTCTTGCAAACTGTGCGCCCAAGCTGTCAGGGCGCTGCCTGCCACTGTGGTCAATGCTGCCATGTCAACATCACAAGCCGCAGTTCTTCTAAGAAGCAGCGCCATTTCTCTCTGCTCCGTTTAAACACGCACCCGGACAGGAAGTCAGACACGTAAACCCACAGAGCATCCATCAAATTAAAACACAATAACACTTTCTAAATAAAATGCATTTTACAGACTCACGATCGCATATATCCCATCACTTTTATCAAGGTCCCCTGGAAGACAAAGCAACATGTTGTTTGCATGTTTTTCTCCCTATTCCCTCGTGATCTTCTAGTTCAGATGCAAAGGGCAAAGGGCGCGCACCATCGCATGGAGCAAAACCGTGGCGCTGACTGACTGAACACAGCGAGCACAGAGACTTTGTGGAAATTGCGGCTTTTAGGGTAAGTGGCACAAATATGTTGAAATTTTGAAACAAATCATTGCCAATGTATTTGTGCAAAATAGGCCGTGATCCCTCGCATTTGCTCACTGCAGCTGCTGGTTGAAAATATGACATAAGATCTGTAGTTTTTAAGCTTTGATACTTTTCAATACTATGGATAATTAATGAATAATAATTAAAATAACAGATTTTATTGTTTTGACACATGCAAAAACAAAAAGTATAAATGTAATGAAAATGTTGGCCACCTTAACGGCAAGTTATGTCTGGTATTTTAAGCACTGTATCTCAAATTTCCTCATCATGTTAATAGTAATTCCTTATCTGTTCAACACTTAACTACTTACACCCCCTGTATGAACCTGCACTTTGGCTTATCCACAACAAATCCTGCTTACCTGTGTACTTGACCAGTGTGCGGCCTGTAGAGATCTCCCATAGTTTGACCACTGAATCTTTGCCACTGGACAGAATGTACTTGGAGTTCTTGGAGAAGACGGCAGAGCAGACCTCCGCCCCATCGTGGGCCTTGTCGAAGGTGGTAACGCAGCGGTTGGAGACACCATCCCACAGCTTGATGCTGCCGTCCTTGCTGCAGCTGACATAGCTGTTGGCGGAGTGGTTGTAGCTGACCCCACTGATGGTGTCCGTGTGCTGGTCGAGGGGGTTGCAGGACACAAAGCACTGGAAGGTGTTGATGTCGTAGAGACGGAGGGTGGGGTGCTGTGTTCCTACCAGCAGGAAGTCGCCCGATGGGTGAAAGGAGATCGCACGCAGCATTTCAGCTTCCTGGAAGAAGAATAATAAGAGATCAGACTGCAGAATTAAAGTGCTATTAAATTAAAATGTTACTACTTTCTCGTCCTTGTTTACATGAACTTTCTTCATTTCTATTCAACTTGCCACCCTTCAACCGAATAATTACCTATGGCAAATCATGTTAGCATAGTAAGATTGAGGGCGCACTCGCAGTAGGGCGACCCGTACCATGCCCAAGCACGCTTCACCACTAAAGTCCAGTTTGTTTGACTAGTGTGAGTGCTCCAATCCGTGCTCAAGCACCGTACACTTCCTCGGCCCTGGCACGCTCTGAAGAGGTGTGCTTTGGAACGGTACAGTTCATGCACGAGCACGAGCACGAGCACGGATACACAACGTTGACAGCCTTCATTATAAAGAAATCCTGGAGTGTTCTGGCTGTATCTGACGAAACTGACTCAAAATAAGACACAAAGTCAGTACAGTAGTTGTCATGTTGTCTGTGTTTTTCTCCGATGTGCAGACGCAGATCCGACAGCGCGTCCCCAGCGAGTCTGTCTTTTAAACTAAGCACACTTCATGATCGCGTAAAGCCATTTTCAGATTAAAAGCAGCACTTCACCAACACTTGGCTGCACTTCTACCGACACATAATATGAGACAAGTGCGCCTCACTCGGTCAGTCTCACAGGCGCTCATCCCCGTCCCTACATACAAAAACAACTATGGTCGGAAGTCCTTCTTTTATACATACACCAAAATGACATTTCCCCATCACATTAGAACTTTACCATCTACCTCATCTTTCAAAAATACATACAAACGACACCTTCTCCACACTTACACCTGCACTCATTAATTGTTCATGTATTGTCCGCAGTATCTGTACTGTTTGTTTCTATTTGTCTGTATCTGCCTAGCCCATGCTAATGTCCTGTAAATGTATTTGTCTTGATGTGTCATGACTGTGGTTTATGTTTCATGTTCTGCAGAACAGGAACCTGCTGGAAACATGTTTTGTTAAACTGAGTCAGGCCTGTTCAACTGTAGCTTAATGTTAATTTTAAACTTTCCTGTATAATAAATGAAATGAATGTTGTATTACGACGTTATGTACAAGAGGTAACCGTGCTCAGGGCCGGTAAGTCCTTGAGCAGTGTGCGTGCAGGCCAACAGGGGGGGGGGGCGGACGGTACAGGACAACTTTGCTCGTGAGAGTGCGCCCTGAGACACCTGCGTGTTTTTACCTGTATATATTTAAATGCTCGTTTTGCAGAGGGCTTTGAGTAGTCGAAAAGTTTGAGGGTGTAATCTCTGGAGCCGGAAGCCAGAATCTGTTCAGTCGGATGGAAGGCGAGGCAGGTGACTTCGTCCACGTGGTCGTACAGTGTTCGAATCACAGGGTGATTCTCCATGTTTTGCTGAGCGGTCTCGTTCATCATCACCTGACGGGCGAAAAAAAACAAACAAACCATAAAAACAGTCAATGCAAGGCCTGCTGGATTTAAAAACAGTAAGAGTACTCTGGTCTCAAATGTGCCTCACCTCAATAGGCATGGCACTCTTGGCCAGCATGCGTTCAGTATCCAGGATCTTGATGGAAGCGTCCGCAGAGCCAGTGGCGATCAGCTGGCCGTCACGACTGTATGAAGCGACCCGGCATGGGCCCTTATGGGACGTTACGTAGCAGGTTTCGTACTCCGACGCCTCCGGAGACATGGTCTGCACATCCGCGTCGAATTCCATGTCAATACCCACACCGGGGGCCACTGTATCCGAGCGCCCAATGGCATACTGCACTGCGCTGTCGTCATTCTCCATCCCTGGGGAGGAAAAGTGAATGAATCATCCCCTCAGACACGACTCAAACAAGCAGAGAAGGAGAAACCACCTCTTACCTATCTTTGCCAGCTGCATCAGCTGCTCGGAGGGAGACACTACGTTGGGTGGTTTGACCTCATTGATGAGGCTGTTGGCGATGTTTGTGTATCCATCATAGAGCAACTGGCTGATGATGAGCTTGTAGAGGTGCTGTCGGTCCTTCAGTGTTGGTTTAGGACGAAACATGATGGATCAGGTTGACCACAAGCGGGCTGTGACACCTAACCTGGCTGCAACGAAACACACGATGTCATGAGTTAGTCGCGTTTTTTTTGACATTAGCTTCACAACAAGACAGTTTTATAAGTATTACAGCAGACAGATATTCTGCTTCCGTATCCAACTCGTGTTTCTAGCACACACCGTTACCGGTGTCCGGACACAACGAATGAATGGAGCCTGTATTTAGCATGGTTGCTATCGTTAGCTTTGTTGCCATAGTTTAAAACAGAGTAAAAAATAACATTAGTTTAAGCGCAGATTAAAACCCTCCCGAGCAGGCGGGACGTACCTCAGCAGCAGCAGCACTCGATGAAACAGAATGGTATTATTATTCGCAATTACTTTTTTTTTTTAAAAAGGGTAAATATGTGTAAAGTTAACCCTGCGCAAACTTCCAATGGCGCTTGAACCAAACCAAACGTGCGTTACGTTGCACGTCGTCTATTGCGTCTTACGTCACAGCTGGGGTGAGTAGAGTTGAGCAGCGTGGAGATCACTCGCAGAGTTGATGGACAGGGTTTTTTTACGACTACGTTTTGGTGTGTTTTTTTGTATTTTTTACGGAATTGAATGACATCTTCATACAGCATCAACTATGTTATTAAACCTAACATGTGATTTTACAATTTTATCATCATTTTATAGGCCTATAGGCTATACAGTTAATTGAAATATATTGGCGCTCCTTGTAAATACATGACCAAGACATCACAGTATAAAATACGGATTTTATTTAATGAACATACATGTGTGAATTGTATGAGAATACTTGTATGAAGATATTTATGAGTGTGTGTTTGTGTGCATCTGTTTAAATGAACCTTGTAATTTACAAATTCAAGATTCAAGATTTGTATTTGTCACATGCTCATACAGATGTGCAGTGAAATGTAAGGGCATGATAGCTACTATTATGTTTCCCTCAAGAGAAACATGTATCTTTCTATTATCATATGTTAAGAAGTGCAAGAAATTCAACCAAAGTTGTTTTAAATTACAACTCGCAAAATCAACAGAGGCTTTAAAATACTCTTTAATCAATATAAGATTTTTTAAGATGATAAAAGGGTCAGTGACAAATAAGGGTGGGACAGATGACCAATTCAAAAATGTTTTTAAAAAAACCATTTTGAAAGCATGGATTCAGTTTGTCAAAATGTACATTTTGTGCTCATGCTGGTTTCATTTCATTTGATATTACATTTGCACCATTTTTTTTTTTTTTTTACAAAAGGTAAGACACCTTAACCTGAAAATGTCAATTGGTGTAACCGCCCAAAAAATTAGGAATATTGAACATTTTATACATTTAAAGTATATAAGCGTACTAATAAAAGTAATTAATTCATTTTAAAATATCACATCACGATAGATTTTTATTAGGATTATCCCTAAATTAAATGTTTAAGCACTTTTGATATTCTGGGATGGACACAAAGCTAAACACACCTCTGTTTTCTAAATACTTTTTGACAAATTGTGTAAAAATTGTTAACAATACATTTAATTTCACTGCAACAGAGGACTACATTTATTCCACATTACCTGAATATTATTATATTTTTATGAGAAATACTGGTTACACCACTTGACGCAGACCAGTTACACCAACTGACCATCCTCCTTATACAGTCAAAGGCTATTTTCTCTAGCAGAAATTGGTACTTTTAATTAAAAAATGATGGCTAACAAGGTCATCTGACTTGTGTTTATTTTATATAAATGCTGAAAAGACTACTGTCTTATATTGTGATTTCAGTAAAGACAGAAAAACATCTGACAAATAATCAGGGCGAACTCATGTCTTGAGTGGAAAAAAACTAAATTGTCACGATTAATACATGTATTCAGGAACATACAACAACATCTGGTTGAAATGGTCAGAGTGAATTCATGTATTCAGGAACATACAACAACATCTGGTTGAAATGGTCAGAGTGAATTCATGTATTCAGGAACATACAACAACATATGACTTTAATGGTCAGAGTGAATTCATGTCTTGGATGATTTAATTGAAAAAAAAAATGTCACAATATCAAATCAGCTAAAGAAATGTGAGTGAGCCAGAGAGGAGGGGGTGGCAGTGGGAGAGTAAGGAAAAGAGAGGATAGTGTTTAGGGCTGTGTGTGCTTTGAAACTGTGTCCATGTGACAGCAAATCTGTATTTTTAGGTTGCATGTTTCTGGAAATGATTCCAGTCCTCCTTCTTGAGTTTTGAATGTCACAAGCTTAAAGGTTCTGGCTCAGAGATGATGTGGAGCACATCAGATTCATAGTAAAAAAGGAGATCAGGTGGATGAGGCCAGGTGAAGACATTCTTCCCGCCCAGCTGTTGCATGCAGCTCACTTCCAATTCTTCTCCAACAACCTGGATGACATGGCCAACGAAGGGCTTGTTTTCATATCTGACCAATATGAACTTGCCTTTCAGCTCCTGCCGACAGTCAGTGGATGTTGAGAGGATTATTTCTGTTAGGTTGCGGAGATCGACTGCATTTGGATCAAAGCGCTTGTAGATGCCAGGTCTTGCACAGAAACAAGATATTTCCCTCCACTGAATTACAGCTGGCTCTTCAGAGGTGACTTGATGCCCTTTCAGTGTACCTTTCACAGCTGGGACAGACGCTGGTACTGATTCATCGTACTTCTTGATGTTTTCCTCAGACATCCAATAGAATGTTATGCTAGAGGACTGATCCTTCAGGAAGTGGTAAAGATCCTCTGCTGTTTGCAAGTCTTGACCTCTCTGGACTGCTTTATCTGCAATACGCTTCACAGCCCCACCCACTCCATCGGAGCTCCTTTTGCATGTGATTTTTCACTGAAGTTCCAAGTGACCTTTTTGAAGCCACTAAGAAAAGGCACTGTGCTGAGCAGGAAAAGTTATTTTTGTTCCGTATTGGGTCACTGGTCAATCACTGATAACTGTGCTACATTTGTCCATGGCATCCCTCAATACAGGCTCCATGTGAGCCCATACAGCACGCTCATCATGGCGGGGAGAGGCAGAGAGAGTGGCAAAGGAGAAGGATGATGAGGCTGTATGCACTACACAAGTGTGAATCGTAACCTGCTTGCGGCTGCCACCAAAGTGGAAAGCTTGAATTTCACTGCCAAGCTTACAGCCATAATTTTCAGAGAAATCTACATGAATGCAAACCTCATCCTCACGTAATGTTTCTTTCAGCTCTCTGAATATTTTGACTTGGTGGAGCCAGTGCTTAGCTAGAGTGTCTAGCTTTCTTGCTGTTTGTATCAAATGCAATTACTGCCAGCAACTCAGAAATACTGTTTGTGAGGAGAATGCCCTTTTGATGCAAATTGTCCACAACAGCTTGACCGTTTCATGGTCAATACATGCACATGTATTTCTGTCTGAGTCTTTTGTTGGTGTAACATAAAAAGGGCAGTATCTAACAAATTGTCTATATGACATTTTGAGGTGTCTCATGACTGTTGTCTGGTATTCTACATGGAGGTCTTTCAGAGAGTGAAGCAGTACCCTTCTTTGCTGCTTGATTTCATTTTTTGTCACAGTGTCCTTTTTGCCAGATGGCATGCGACTGTTTTCATCCCTACAAAGAAAGCTGGCCACTTCCTCTCTTCTCAGTTTTGAGGTTTTCTTATTGTTTTTCACCTTGTTCTTTTCACTGACCATGTTCTGTTTTTTCTTCTTTTCCTCCCTTGTCTCTGTAACTTTTGTGTATTTGTTTTGCTGCCCGGAGTTCCCTTTTCACTTTTCTTAGTTCAGACCTCAGCTTTTCCTTATCTTTCAGTGCTGAAACACAGTATTTGTTTGTTCCGGCCTTTCCTTTCCTTACAGGGGTTGAGGATGCTGGTGGCTTCTCTACAACTGGCTGGTCATCAAGGTGATTAAGCATTGGCTCAGGATTGTCTGGGTGCTGAATGGGCTCATCCACTGAAGTGTTCAGAGATGGTGGAGTTAAGTTGAGAACATCAGCAAGCACCTTTTTCTTTCTTCTGCAGGTACTCTTTCCACTTTTCTCTCATCTTCTCCTGCTTTTGTTTGGAAAGCTCAGCTACTGGAGCACTTTTAGACTTTCCCTCTCTGCTTCTCCTTTGATAACTACAAATAAAATCGAAAAAAATAATTATTTTCAATGGCTAACCTTTCAGAACACTACACTACATCATTCTGACTTTAACCTGACATTCTTTGAGTGATTTACTGGAAAAATGTGTGTGTGTGTGTGTGTGTGTGTGTGTGTGTGTGTGTGTGTGTGTGTGTGTGTGTGTGTGTGTGTGTGTGGGGGGGGTAATCAGCCTATGCATCAGCATCAGCGTTCACTCTTGCTCTGTGGCGAGCCACTTCAGCCTATGCATCAGCATCAGCGTTCACTCTTGCTCTGTGGCGAGCCACTTTTTCTTTGCTTGAAAGTGGCATCTAATCGTAAAAAAAGGCATTTTATGAGATTATGTATTCATTATGAAATAGCAGAAACTTAATGAATTGTATTTTACAGTTGTACATTTCAGTCTTTGTAACATTTCTCCTGTGTATTATTGGAGGTCTTGGTCACTGCCATCACTATTCACCCACTTTATTCGGATACATTATGAAACCACATACTAGCACATTGTATATTGCTTAATATGGAAAGTGAATGAAATACAAATATGCAATTTAATGCCAAATGTTTAAAAATGCAGAAGTTGTGCAACATGATTTTATCCTAGCCTTACAGACCTTTGATAATAAAGTTGTGTATAAATCACCACTTTTTCCAAATCTCAACACTGGACACATGCAAATGTTTCCACATAGTAAGTTAATTCATATTGCATCTCTAATCAGCATAATAAACTACTGATAATTGACAAAATTGGCCTCCAACAGAAAGGCTTGTTATAAATATCAAATGGTGTAACCGGTTACACCATTTAACATTTCAACTTGTGTCAAATTTGACAGGCATTATCAAGGACAACTATGTAAGCACATGTCGATGGTGTGGACATTTAAAACACGATTTTTAAAGTAAATACTAATTTTAACAAATATCATTAATGATCAATGTTTTTCTGAGGTCATACCATTTGACATGTAAACGAACGCATACCTGACTACGCCCTAAAAATGTTGAATTATTATAGTTTATAGAGAGTTGCTAACCTTGGCCTGCAGCAGTTGGGTTCATCAGGGGTCCTTCTGAATTATGCAATTTCCTGTCACATGGTGTGCTGTACAATATTAACAAAATGGCTCCTTTAAGGGTGGTTACACCATGTTGACACTTTAGGAAGTTGACTTGGTGACACGGTTTCCCTAAATTAATTATAATATTCAGAACAATGGTGTTTGATTACTTTCATTTATTATTAAATAGTTCTAGTGTAAGATTATGCCAGCTAGCTGATAGGGTGTTTTATTGAAAATTTAAACTTTATAAAGCAAGTTTAATT